ATTATAAGTCTTATCAAATACTTACATAGAAGGAAGCTTAATGCTTATAAAGTGTAGTTTTTAAATTTAATAGTAAAATTCACTGTTTAAAAAAAAAAATAAAACTGAATAGTTGTTTAGTAGTAGAATACCTACATAAAAAAAAGTAAATACCATTTTCTAAGAAAAAAACATTGACTGTATAGGTCACTGTAAATGACATTTATATTGTTTTGAGTATAACTTATAGAAGTATTAAGAATGGACTGTTTGAATGTTTGGCTTTTTGTCTAATATCGATTTCAATTAAATTGCATATCTATCATCATGACGTTTGCTCGTGTATATGGCATCTAAAAAATGAACAATGAGTATTATTATAATTACAATTTGCGGTTGGCTGCGACAGCGTACAAAACCGAAAATCACAATTCCATTTGAAATTCAAATCGTGAAATTAAAGCGAATAATATAATATTGGATTAGTAGTGTAGGTGTTGTGTGCTTCATAATACAATTTAAATCATTATTATTATTTTTATTATTACAACGACGGTCAGACTTTTCATTCAATTCCATCGCGCGGTGTGATAAGTGTTTGTTGCAGGTGATTTATCACACATCATAGAATTTTTTCCACCCGTGTGTTAATGTATAAAAGAATGGATTAGAATAAAATCAAATCCATTCAACGGTTTAACGCTATTCGACGAATTAAATGTATAATATGAGAGAAAAAATCTTCCTCGATGAGGTTGTCAATGACGGATTATTCATTCCCTTTCACCTGCACTCGAATTTAAATGTCGCTTCGGGTTATGCCTTTTATCTTTTCAACTGCATGTTCGAAAGTTTTGGGACCAACGGCTATTGTTCGGTGGCAGATCAATAAATTTTTACTCGGATTTTTTTCTCCCCCCACTCGAGAATATAGTTATAGTAAAAACCTCATTCCGCCACCATCGCCACCTGCAGACTACCTACCCGAGCTGCACACGTTCCAAAGTTTCCGTAGTACTAAAAATCATGTGTTTTCATATAAATTGAGGATCGTAAATTTCGGTTTTTCCTGTAGAAATCAGATTATTGCCGTACAATATTATTTATGCATGTATATATTTTCGAGTTTGTTGTTTCCGATTAGACTTTTCGTTTTCCGATATAAATGAACCGCACCTTCCAATGTGTTCCGCAAACACATTTAATATTATATTTATATAGTACTGTTTCCGTTTTATATAAGAATAAAATTTCATATTTTCAAGGCCACGATTTCGAAGAATACAATTTATTTTTTGTTATAAATAAAATATGTGTTTTGAATTTAAAAGTTATTATTATTCAACGATGTAATGATGTTTAAATATAATGTTTATTTATCAGAACATAATTAAAAAGAAACCATACAATTGTTACGTATAATACAGTATAGAAGTTTTCTTTTGTTAATAAAACCAAAAATAAAGTCACGTTTATTACCTGTAATATACATGTAATATTCAAGTAGAGTGAACAAAATAATTAGCAACACAATTATGTATTAATACACTTGAATAGACTGTACAACATGTAAATAAAACATGTGTAACAGGCTACATCCCAAAAATTACGTAAATATAATTTATAATAATAAAAAACGGTATTTATATTATAGCTGGTGTAACGTATAATACTCGTCTTAAGAGTTCACAGTGCACTTCCTTCGTCACAGGATTTAGGATTATTAAATTGTATAAGTCGTATAAAATTAAAAATAATAAATAATATTCTCACCTTGGTTCTGGTTAAAACCATAACTAAAAAACATCACATTCTTACATTACTCCAAAACTGCAACTTGCATTTTTAATAATATATGTTTAATAATTTATTATTTTATGATCATCGTTTAGTCAGTTGGTGTTCAAAATTCAGCATGTTGACGGTATAAATCAACCTCCTATGAATTTTTTTATAATATAATTATTATCTTGTTGACACATTTATATTTAAATCTTTGATATAATAATTGTCAATATGATATATTCAAGTAACATCCAAATTATAGTGGCACTTATAAAGACACCGAAGTATTTTAACTGGAATAATTCGATCACAAACATTATTTCACTATAATTATAATCACTTGGCTTTTTTTCCTTTATTTTTTGTCAACGACACTATACATATGTTTTCCGTCATTTTCATAAAAACAGAGAAGATTTCTGACCTTAACTTAGAAATTGTAATTTTTCTGACTAACTTTTCAGTCCTCAATCAGCCAAAAAAGTACTCACCTTTTGGGATGATATTATTATGTAATTACGAAGTATGGTTATTACCAGTTACCTATAGAAAATTCAAAATACCTAAAAAGTAAATACAAGTAGTACCATTTTCGATAATAACTGAATACATAGAGTGTAATATAAGTCTATACGACTTACAGAGTCTTTAAGTATATATAAAATAAAACAGCACAATTTAAAATAAGACAAAAATACATAATATAGAATAATACCTATTTAGAACTGCAGTAAGTACCTACATATTAGCATTCACTAATTACACAATCAATCCCACTTAACATTCGACGTTGGCGTATGTATTTTCTTGTTTTATTCTCAAATAAATTGAATTTAGGTAAATCAATTACCGCTATTATCGCGATTGGTATCCTTAAATTCGTGTATTTTCACCCCATCTATTCGTCTGTGTACATATAATATTATTATTATATAAACCAATTTCTCCTGTATTTTAAAATTGAAAAACGCTATCGAAGCTTACACAGTAGTATTAAGAATATTGTATTATATTTGACAGGATAAATATTAAGTAGAGCGGCAAATATAGAATGCAGTGAAGTCGAATTATCTCCTTCGACATTTGCTTAACGAAGTGGATTTAAAACCTAACCGAAAATAACAAAATAATTGTTAGAAAACAGTTATTAAAATCATACAGCTACCTACGAATGCATTAAAATACAATTTATAAGACACAATTTACATTTCAAAATGTCAAAAAAAAAAAACCAATTAACTCTGCAACGTTATTAAATAAAACGAACAATAGCGTAAAAATGAATTATTTTAACTAAACTGCACAGAGTTTAATTACAAATTATAAACGGTTTGTTATGAAACTTTAAAATTTTAAATAAAAATAAGTTTGATTGTTACTCTGTTAATCATTTATTTTTTATTTTTTATGAAGTACTTACAAACTATAAGGAGTCTCAAAATTAAGTTTTTTTTAAATTTTCGTATAGGTATCAAGTTATAATTTTTATTTTTTTCTTCATTGAGACGGGACGAAAATAAAATAAAAATGCGATTATGTAAAGTTATGAACGAATATTGACAGAATATTTCTAAATTAGGTATTAAAATGTTCAACAATTCCAAATCCTCGAATACACACACGCTCAAATGAACCTATACGTATAACACTATTATTTACATAGGACATGTGACTGGCAAAATAAATATGAATTTTTCATTGCAAACAGTTGTAAAGTGTTTCAGGGCTTATCAAACATTTAAAACGAGCATAATAAACTATTTTTTTAATCCCTACATATATTTATTTATTAAATCCACGTTTTTGTGAATTATATTTTAATTGTATTCATTCATTTACTTTGATTATGTGAGCTAACAAATATGAGCTATTTTTTTTTTATTATTTACCTTGATTGTTAACTAAAAATTCAGTTTATAACAACCACTTAGAAGGACTATTGTGACATTATTATTTTTTTGAAACTTATTATATTCAAATATTCGAGTACAATAGTACATATTATTATTTCTATTATTTTATAGCAAATAAAAAAGTACATAAAAATAATTGTATTATGTTCTTTAACAGAGAACCTAAAAACAATTATTATTGAGTTTCTAATAATAAAAATAGTTTTTCAATTGGGTAGATACCTTGTCGAAGAAACTATCAAATTAACCCTACCATGGTACCTATAGTTATTAAATAGGTATCCTTTTAAAAAAAACTAGTTTTTATTCTACAAATTGTTAAAACTATGATTGTCGAAAAGCAATGCTCTCAAACCGTTTTTTTATAATAGTTATAGGTGATGTCATAAACTTATATCATTTCTTTGCCGGAGAAATCGAGAAAAATTTATTTTAACTCTATATATTTTTTAATTAATTTTTAACTGTAATTGGCTTAACATAAATATAATATGATGTTACTAATCTAACTTTTCTATTTTTATTTATAATGACACTTTTTTTAATTTTTTAATAAAAAAAATATATTTTGCTCAAAAACATGCCTTACAGGAAAAACTCTCACGCCTCGTAGATTGATCTGATTTCGATGATTTTTTTTTTTTTTGATAGATAAACACTTCTTACAGGACTTGGATTTTCAACATTCGATTTCTAAACCATATAATACGATTTTGAATATGACCAATTTTCACGAGATTATGTTATTTTCATTATGTTTGTTTTTTAAGCAACGAAATTAAAAATCAAAGCCCAATAAGTCCTGTGGAAAATTATCCCCTTTCCAACGAAAAAAAATTATTTAAATCAGACTTCTATACGATGCGTGAGAGTTTTTCCCGTAACGCGTGTTTTGATCAAAATATCACGTATTTTATTTTTGGTCAGCAAGTGCTCATATTCAGCTCGTTACCTACCCGGATAGTCCGGTACCCGCATACAATCACACACACACTTATTATCATTGACGACTAACATAAAAGACATGTGGCCACGAAATTGAATATGGCTTAAATATTGCCCCTTATTACACACGAGCAGGCCACTCATTTTGACAAAAAAATCATTGTTCTATAATAGATAATAAGCACTTCATCGTTTTATACTTCCATAATTCCACACTTCCAGTGTGAGAAATGCAATTTACAGAGTTGTAGTGTTAATACTGAATATGCTGTATATATTGTTAAACGTTGACCTACATGATTTTAGTTATTTTTTCTTCAGTATTTTATCGTGTTGTGTTTATGTACCTAATAATAGCTAGTATACATGCGTGATTTCTCAACAGGGCCATTTCTTAGGTCCGCTGCTGTGCCCGATGGAAGGATTCAGAGACCGGTGGTTCGTGGGTGGCGTCGTCAGCTGGGGCGTGGAGTGCGCTACACCAAGTCTGCCGGGTGTGTATGTCAATGTGCCCATGTACACGGAATGGATCAAGAACAACATACGCACCGACCAGCTGTTTTCGTCGACAGACGACGAGTATTGAATGCGATTTTCCATGAGCAAAACGCGATCGGCTTTCATCCCTTCGTCGATCCAATCCCCATGCCCCTCATCACCTACCTACCATTTGAAGCTGCAATTGACTGCATCGTAATCTGCAGCGGTTTTCGCCTTTGGGGGTTTCCCCTGCTGGAAAATAAAATATCAACGAAAATACTTATAATATAATATAGGTACTGGTTTAGTATTGTAGTGCACTTTCGGCTTTCGTCGACCAAATGGAAGTATTCCATATTATACAACTGGTATAATTGACATTGCGTATTACAATATAATATTGTCATGTGCAATGTTCAATGTATTACATGTTCCACGACCACCTCTTCCGTGATTTTGATCGAAGACGATCGGTTCAATTGGAAATATATATAAAAAAAACAATACAATAATATTACATTGCAACTTATCCGGACGACGTACCTCCGCAATATTATTATCGTTTGATAGGTGTATAATATTGTGTAAAACTCCTCGAAGAAACTCAATATTTATATAATTGTTGGTTTGTCTATACATAATATACAATTGAAAGGCTTTAGGCACTTATATAGCTACTATAGGTTTTCTGGGTTCGATATAGGTACGATAATTTCGTATTGTAAACTATATAGTGTTATATGCAGACGATGCGATGGTTGGATATCATACACGGAAACAATATTTCGGAAATTTTTCAGACGATCAATTTTCTCACAAAATTATCGGAGCTTCGCGGTTTGCGCTACTATATTATATCCATTTAAGACGTTCGTTGATACGATATTTTAACACGTATCATCACTGTCGGTACATCCTATGATATTTGTTTAAAATAGGTAAATATCCTTTAATATATGTCTTGCAACTTGTATAGAAAGCGTACAGCACTGTATACGTTTAAACAATGTGACACATACAATCATAATATTATGGTCATCCGTCCAACAGCATACTCCTGATTTTTCGTAGATATATTGTAGTTTTACTTCGTTTGACATTTTTACTCAAATTAACGATGAGGATATAGTATAGTCGTTATACTATAGCGTATACAGTCATACGCAAACACTCAGACTTCTTGACAACAAAATATTCATACACTAATATGTACCTTTTTTTCTTTTTTCCCTTGTTCAACCGACAGCAGAGGATAGGCTCTGTTAGAAAAATACTATACTCCTCTGCTGCCATCGTTTGTTGGTGGATACAATTTATAAATGAGACACTTATAAGAACAAGGGCCCAATTCGAACTTTCAATTTTTTTCAGGAGACAAAAAAAACTTATTCAGTTAAAAATTATTAGTATGATCACAAATGTTGAATTATCGTCATATTTAATACCTTCAAGTCTATTATTTTTTTCAGTTAGAAGTTATTTTGAATATTTCAGTAAGTCAAAGTATTTGTTTGAAAATTGTAAATTTGGGCCTTTGTTGAAAAATGACTAATTGGGCCCTTGTTCTTATAAGTGTCTCAAATATACTAATATACCAGCTAGGTGTTTACAACTTTCCAAACGGGTTATAATTTTATTCCGTATAGATTTATTAGGTATTATAAATGCCACCCACGTTCTTGTTTCCAGTAAACGGGACCCTTAGTTAATAATCTACAAGGCGTTCGACATCTAACAGAATATATTATAGAAAACAGTTAAGTTACATATTATTATAATATTGATTATGATCGCAAAGAGATATTTTTTTATCGAAACACTTAACTATAATACTATTACCTATAAAAAACGTTAACTTGCGATTTTCGGCAAAACTTTATTAATTTTCTATACACACACGCCAGGTACAACAACTGTTATGGTGTCACTAGCCACATCTTCCATTATTATAATGTTGAATTAAAAAATAAATAAAATTGCTCATTGACAAACACACACACACATACATTGGTTAGAATATTATTACAATAATTGTAATATAATATACTCCAAAATGTAGGGTGGTAAAAGCGTAAGCGATAAACAATCTTATGCGGAAGTCCTACTCGGAGCGCATTGTAATCTTCATGGCGATGGAATTATAGACAATAAACATAATATTTTACACATTATTCCAAAGACAAAAAGTGAGATTTTTTTATTTAAATTCATTTAAACTTAAGTAACAATTAAAAAATTACATTAATCTTAATGACAAAAATAGGCTAAGAAATAGTTGTGCATAGAATCTAAATATAATACTATTGTACTATTGTACTATTGTATTATCCAGTAGTTGCAGGGCTTTCCAAGGATCGAAGAGTGAAAATAATTTGAAAAGATTTTGATTGATTGACTTAAATTTTCCAGTCGTGGAACCAGGCGTTAAGCACAGTTAGGTGATTTTGGATTTTTTGGGCAGCTTGTATGGGATCTTTGTTGATAACAAGAATAGCAGTGTCATCTGCAAATGTAAAAAGTAGAGTGTTTTCGTTTAAATGTAGGTCGTGGGTAAAGACATTGGATAGGAAGGGGGCTATATCGCTGTCTTGGGGGACACGGGAAGTAGCTATTTTAGTGTTTGAAAGCGAGTAGTTAATTTTTGTGACTACTTAAATATTAAGTGTTAAATATAGTTTAATTAAAAATAACCCCTATAATACTTATGACTTACGATTAATATGTATCCATAGAATGTACTCATAACTCTGATACATTGAGGTTACAAATAGTAACAAATTAAGTTTAATGAGTTACAAATATTTTGGAGTTAAATGAGTTGACTGGGGGGCTAGTCTTAGATTTAGAAATGGTCATAACTCTGATACAGTTAGGTTACAAATTTTAAAAAGTTTATTATAAATGGTTACAAATTAAAAGGAAAATTATGAATTTAATTTTAATCGATTTTGTTGAAGTGAGGGGGCTTGCGTGAAGTTGGTCCCTCATTGGGAAACCAGTTGTAACTTTTAAACTACGAAGTTACACATATTTTTTAAAAAAATTTTACAAATAGTTACAAATTAAAAAAAATCAGGGTACAAATACTTTGGAAGTTTTTAGTTAAGTGGGGGGGGGGGCTAACTTCACCCACGTAAAATGTATTATTGGATGAAATAGTACACTATGGTGTAATCAAAATTTTAAATTATAAATTTCAGTATTAATAATTTAATAGTTTAAAAGTTCACATTAGAAAATCGTGGTTCTTGAACAATATGCAAAAAGTGGCAATGGTGCATTTTGGAATGTCATCCCTTTTATACACAATTGCCGTAGAGAGGGACTTGCCACAAGGACAAAACCAGTTTTTTACACTGTACAGTAAGGTGTCCACTGTTGAGTGTACCTCATTTTTGATAAAATCAATTGAGGTCACTGTAGTCTGGATGTAATTGATGTAATGACTGTAAATTAATAAATCATTAGGGGAAAAAAAGATACAGCATTAAGATAGACAAACCTTTATTATTAAGTAAGTATTAGTATTATAATATATTATACATTTATAATTTGTACTACCTACTATTAATTACATACGGTATTGGTTGGATTATTTTTTGTCGAAAACATCGAATTTATTTTAATATAATTTATAAGAGTATTTATAATGCGATAAATAATATAATATGTAATTGTATTTTTATTTATCTTCAAACGAGAAAAAACAAAATATTTATTCACATGTAAACAGCTTCTTAATGAATTCTGTGTATGAATCATTCATATATTTATTACAAAAAAAAGTTATCGGTCGTTTGGGATCTGCAAAATAAATTGGTATTAGATTTTTTGAGTAGGTTCGTTCTATTTCCCTTTCATAAACGCGTACAGAAATCGATTTGTTTAAGCATATAAAAAGAACAATTTTTAGCCCACAAACTCTTCAAAATTATATTTAAAACAGACCAATTTAATCGTACTTATTTTAGCTATGAAAATATTAAAATTTTCTTCTGTGAACTAAAACATATTTCTTATAACTTCCCGATGTTTAAATAAATATTACCAATACTTTGTACAGAGATAGAAAAAATTTATCAACATAAATATAAAAAAAAATATAATTATAAAATGACTAACATGGAGACAACTGGGCTCGCCAATTAATATCCAGCCCATGGAATAACCTGATTTTATTACACTGTTAAGTTATACTTGAGCAGAAAAACGATGAGGTTAGTCGAACCCAATTCTTTATTTTTTCACATAGGAATAAAACCGATGAATGTTCAGTTGGCTACGAAAAATATTGGCTAGCATTCCTTGGATCACCGCCTTAGTCAATTGGTTACTAAAGCCGGGGGCAACACCACTTACCCTAAGTTATTTTTTGTATTTAATCATCAGGTATTCAATATAAACGACAGAACTACAGGACTTTCACAGTATTCAAACACTAATATTTTAGTTAGCGATCATTCACGGGTGTTTTTGGCATTGATTATAACCATTTATTTACAAGTTATAACATTAGTTATACATACCGTCTGTGATAACTTGATGCAAGTCTTCTGCAAAATACGTAAAAATTACATTATTGTGATGATTTCCCATATTTTTTTATATAACTAATATCATATTTGAACGTAATTCGGTTAGTTAAAATCGTAATTGAATCTTAACATATTTTATTTGAAATTATGGACAGGAGCTATATTACCTACCTACTTATTTTTATTTTTTAGTAATCACATATTAAGATAAATGTAATCAAAAAAAAAACACAAAAATAATTATGATTCTATATTTCAACATCAAACTAAACATCGTTCTATTTTTTCTAACACACACAAATAAAAATTTAATTTTTTTCTATGATCAGTCACATATTATTATTTATCCTCGTCACTCTGTAGTTAATCTATAAATTTTATGATTTATGAGTAATATAACTAATTGTTACAGTATCTGAATATAATGAATTTCATTCTCTGCATACAAAAATATTTTGTCGATACCTAATGGTTTGTCTGGAATGACATAAAACGCTGGAGTCCATATTTTAACTCACTGTGAATGAATTGTCTAGTCACTGGACTGTAGTGAGTAAATCTTGGTATTTGAATGAAACTATATGTTTATGGAAATTCCGTGTTTCATTA